GCAGGACATGAAGTTTTGTAAACCTTATATTTCTTTAAATAAATACATGAAGTTCTATGAAGGTATGGATAGCAAAATCCCGGTCCACGAAAGTACTGGATCTTCGGGGTAGCTCAGGTTAATTAAGGCCTGGGTCAAAAATGATTTTCGCCTCCAGTGCCCCCCCCCCCCCTTCAGCAAGGTTCGCGGAATTCGCGTGGACTGCGCGAGTAACCATAATCAAGATCGCGTAGTTCGTGAACGGCATCCGCCATTTTGAAGTGTCGGCTTTGCATTGGTTTTTCCCATCTTCGTTGGTGAATCCGACAATCTAGAAGAAGACATTAAAAGAAGGTAATAACATTTTCTTTGCTATCTTCATATCCTCAAAATATGGCATGATATTGCTATCTTAAAGCCAAAGAGAACCCTTTTGAACCTACGAAGACTTCTAAACACCGCTCTCAACATGTTCATTGACTTCACTGCAAATACAATGCAACATGAATTTATAATATAGCGCTCATTTCTAGAGCTCAATAGCGTTTTAAAATGTTTGTAACTTATGCATAGAAAAAAGTACTATGTTTTGTAACAAATGCATAGAAAAAAGTTTCATTGTGGATATACCATTCAATTTTGAAACTAAATTTAGCTTGATGCACAGGCGGCCCAAGCTCACGTCTCGAGAAAGCCAACGATGAATTCATGAACGCGTCACGCGTTGTATGACTCGGTGTTAAGTTACGGGAGGAACCGTTGAAAATTTGAACACGTTATAAGGAATAGTATGGGGAACGAAATATGGTCGATTTACAACGATAAATATTTCGAAATATGAATATTTTACACGTAAAATCAATAAAACTTACTCATGCCCTGTGTATCCGTCGTAGTTTCTAGCGATTTCTGCCGTTTTAAGCTTGCTTTACCATCACTGTTATCCATGTCAAAAGACGAAGTCAAGGCTGCACACTCCGATTTCGACCGTGGTCCACGCGGAGGTGGTTTGCGCCCCGAAAATCCTCCCGATCGGCATTTTTCTCAGCCAAACTTTACGATCTAAGATCACTGCACCCTGGGACATGTCTCAATACCAAAACTTCACGCGCATTTCGCTGGAAACGAGCGTTTTCTACCTGAATTTCCAGGTTCGCTTCTATCTGGTTATGCTTTGAACACGAAGACTGGACACGGCCGCGAAAGAGACTTTGGTACGAGGTCAATTTTCTCTCTACCGTGTGTGGTACGGTCGATTAATATACAATACTTACCCCATCCCCACAGAGACACCTCGCCTTAACCTATCGTCCTAATCAACCAATCAGACAGGGAGTCGAAACTAAAACAGATAAACAACGGACAAAATTTGAATATTCTGCAGGGTTTGCTGTGAGCATCTAAGCTTCGATTATTTTCGCTAAAATGCTATCGAAGAGCAAAAGATATGCGGTGAAATTGACGGCTAAGCGAATCACTTTTCGCCACTTGAAATTGACTGTAATTAAAGCGAACGTTGTGTGTGAAGTGTTACATACCGCAATGTAAATACCATTGTCCATGCGATGTCCTAACGTCGATTGCATCTACCCTTCCATGCATGGCCTATCAAACTACAATGTTTTGCCAGTTGATGTCACTAAACTTGTGGAAAAATGGAAAAACCCTCAAGATTCGACCGAATTTCCCATGATCTACCCCCCTAATTTACGTTGGAGTAAATGTCCATTTAGTCACCGGAAATCCATTGTAAAGGACAATAAAATTTCGATTAGCTCAGC